CAGATCCATTTCATTTTTCATTCAAAATTTCACCAACTATACATCTCTAAAAAAAAAAAAATCTATTACTTTAAAATTAAATTCAACAACCGGGGGACAGTATTATTATTAGAATAATGTTCTGACAAAAGAAATAAGACAAAAGCAAGGGTGTAAGGTCAAGATGCTTTCAAGAATACTTCTTTTAGACCAGAAAAGTTAAAAATGGCAAGTACATGTTTCTATAGTTTCGTGTTCCCAAAGTTCGACGACTTCCCTGGGCTAATTCGAGCGATTTCAATTGACTCACGGGGAAATTGCACCAGTGGCGCCTGACAATGTCCCTGAAATGCACATCTGCACCATACCGAATAAATCGGTCTCGAATTAGAATCCACTTTCGACTCAATTTGTGTGCACCAGATTACCAGCCAGAACAATAACATCCCCAAACAATCTAAAATCTATTTTCTTATTGCTCACGAAAATGTGCAATACATTGCACTGTTTTAAGATGAATATGCATGGGAGCATCGTGTACGATTCACGGAATAGCAAGATTTCCGGTGTCTGATCCTGCGTGAGCGTCGATATCCGGTACAACCGGAAATTCATTTAGGAAGGAGAGCCGATCGATTTTAATCGAATTTTCAATCGATAGGAGAAGACCCAAAGATATTATTAAATTAGAAATTTTTAACAAACTTTTTTCACAAAAATTTTCCATTCTTTTTCAAAGTTTTTAAAAGTTTCAAAAATGTTTGATTTTAAATAATTATTGCAGTGATCGAATCGTTTTAATTTAAGGAGACTAACGAGCATCCTACTATTTACAGGATCAGCGTAGGATTAGCAATGTGGATCGGTGTGTCAATGTTGCAGCTAGCAACGCAGCTGGTTGCTTTGCTGCCGGGGGTGTTATCGACTGATAAAGGGGCGCATGCGTGCGAAGCAACCCCCATTCTTCCAGCAGGACGTCCATGACGACGTCGGCATCGTCGTCGTCGTTTCCAGGAGACCGTTGAATTCTCTAAACAAATGGTATCTGATCCTGGTAACCATAAACCACCCCCCTATCAATTCAACCCCTCCTCGAAATCAAATGAATATTTCATGAGAAATTTATTTTATTTTTATACCGAAGAACCATTTTGCAATATAGCAGTGCCTCGTTTCACAATTTCCCGTGAATCTTTTTAAAATAGTCAACAAATTAACACTTTGTCCATAAAGAAGTTAATCACAGAATCAACATTCTCTATCTCTCGTAATTATTCCATCAATTTTTATCTAATTCTCTACTCGATGAGATTTTTATCTACTTTCTCACGCAAACGTTTTGTTTTTATCGAAGAGTTGCTTCACCTTTAACTATCCAAGCGAATTATCACGTTTCCCAGCGTTACGGATTAACATGTAGCTCAGACACCCTTTCTAAATACACACAAAGTATAAACCGTGAATCGGAAGTTTCCTTCGAGTGGTTTTTCGAACAACGCTTCAACTTGCACGGCGAAATCTTCACTGATAAGAAATTCAAATAGATTTATCTAGAGTTTCACAAGGTGATAGGTGCTCTTTAAACAGACTTGTCTAATCTGAATCATAGTGCAAATGAACAAAGAACCTGTACTTCAAAATTCTACTCTATTTCATTATTCTCCTCAAAGACATCCGGTCTTCGATCATTCTAATACCCTATTGACTGAAAATTTTAATGATCCTACAATTTCTCTGATTTCTACATCAAAATAGAACGACTTAATTCTCTGATTTCTACATCAAGATAGTTAGATTTACCGATTAACTTCGGTGTTTAATAAACGCGTTGACCGAGAATCATCAAATTTCAGTCGGATAACGAACGTGTTTACAGAAGAAGAACAATCTGAAGAGGCTTCAGCCGGTCAACAGGAGCTTGTAATCGAGAACTGCAACGCTGCACTAACTTTTGTCCACGCTGCAGGCACGGAGATGCAGCGCAAGCGGATAATCTTCCGTCCCTTTGTCTCTATATCGCAAAGAAACATACTGGATTAACAAAATGATATTTAAAAAAAAAAGCAAAAGCGACCTTCTTCGATTTTCCGGAACAACCTTCGCACGGTTCACGACCTCCATCGACGGACCCCTTTTTATTGAGTTATTAGACTCATCCGCGTCATTTCCCTCCAATTCAGAGGGATCTCTTTGATTGTCCTATTTGTTTAACGAGACGAGTCCATATCGCTTGAAATTCGTTCACAAAAAGAATCCCTGCTTTAATTGCCTCACTCAATTATGCTTAATCACCCTCTCGAGGGGAGGCTCGTTTAAAAAGTAACCAGCGACGAAATTGCCTCAACATTTTTGCAGATTTCAATCCTTTTTTATTTCCTTGATATTAAAATTTCAAACTACGAAAGATAATAATCATTCTATCGGGGAATGTTTCTTCGAAACGCGGTTTAAGCCACGATGAACTCTATTGCGCGACCGATCACTTTCCTCTTGTAAATCGGTATAGCAACATCGGGTAACGATTATAATCGCCACGTGCAGCTAGTAACGGCATTCTTCGTTCGCCCGTTCTCTCGCGAAAGCCGCTCATTTTCTGATGCTTCCTACAACAGAACTAGGCGAATCGAATCCCATCGAACACGACCGACAGGAGTTCGAGAATTTCACGTGGAAATATATGCGGTAGAGAGGCGAGAGAACCGGTTGTTTTCACAGCTGTGACGATCCTCTCTACATCTTTCCATGTTATGATCGTTTGTTTCTGCTTAAACAATCCGTACACGATGTTGGAACGTGACGAGAACCTCGGTATTCCGTGTTTAAGGATACCCCTTTGAGCACGTACAGACGAAATACAATAACAATTAATATCTACGTTATCGGTAATGCATGAAAGGCAAGCATCGCACAGAATGCCTGACGTTATTTGGCAAAGTACGAAACGATTAATATTTCACACATTTCCTAGAAGACAAATCGGCAAAGTATAAAATACTCCCGCTATCGACATTTCTAATGTCACCTGGCATTTTCTTTCGTTCATTTATATATTTTTAATGAAGGCCTTTTCATCATTTTTTTTCTCAAGCTTTACCTTTTTGTGAAAAAGACAATTAAATGCAATTCTAGATTAAATTCTTTTCTTCCTGGTTGCAACAAGTAGGTTCGTATTCTATTTTCTCTCGTTTTCCTCAATAATATAGTCCTATATTTTAGTTTTCATGAACGTCTTTTCAACGAAAGCCTCTTCACGGCTCGCTTTTAATCTTTTGCCTAAATAACATTTGTCATTCTATGTAATGCCTAGGAAAAGTTTATATAATATTAAAATAATTCGGATATTTTATACTTCGACCAAGAACGCCAGACATTCTATGTATACAATGGCTGCTTTTCATACATAAATACAGAATGCAAGGTTTCAGACCTTATTCACAATTATTCTATATTTAAATCAAAATCCAATCAGGGATTAAACCCCACCAACGATCAAAGGATCAAAGTTAACATTTAACCCGTCACCCGTTAATCCGTAAGCCTTTAATATAAGAAAAAAAGGAAAGAATCTAGGCCTTGACTTTTAACCCTCCGCTCGTGTACGTATATTCCCTATTCTTTGAAGGTTTTAGTTGTGCGAGTAATTATTGGAAATCCATTACTTCTGAATGAAAAGTTTCTTCCATGCTTTACCGAGCCCGCCTACATCTATCTGCAAAATACAGTATGTATTTATGCTCTCGATGGACATCGAAACTTTTTGATTAATTTAGAGTGAATTTTGGGAAACTTCTTCATCGTTGCTCCATTAAAAAACTTTGAACACTGTAACTGCAATATTAACCCTCCGTTGGCAATCTTTTATTTGAGGACCTGACTTTATATTGTTCTAGACTTTAAAAAAATCTGAAAAAATTCTGAGATATTTATTGAACCTTCTAATTTAACATACAAGCGATATTTAAGTGAAATGTTTAAATTTTCTTGAAATAAAAATAAAAACTCGAAGAATGAATTTGGAAAAATGAAAATTTCGCCTGGAACTCGGCGACCCGCTTTGCCAGCGGAAGATTTGATTAATTTATTTAATAAAACGATGGAAGTATCGTTAAACCTTGTTGGACGAATACAGGGTCATTTTAATTCATTATTTATTGTGTAATAATATGTATACTCCTCTTCTCTATGAAAATATATTTAAAAATTGCTACGGGTCGAAACGACCCTTTCATATAGCATCCGCCTGCCGAGGATTAAATTGGCCATTCGTCAAAGTGACACGAAGACGATACGCCCGTTACATTCATGAGGACAATTAAGGGCGGGCCTGGGACGTCGCGCAATTAACGTGACGTTGTTACACGTATGCAGATAGACCGTCGAAAATACGGTCATCGTCCTCCGGCGAACGTGTGAAAAATATATTTTTCATGAACGAAAATCTTGAGAAGCGTTAGGTGAACCTGTACGCATGAAGCGACTGCCAGCCGACGGGTTTATGGGACGATTGAATATTTATAAAGCGTGGCAATGACTCTGTCCGAATATTAATTGCATCACCGGTCGTGTATCTTGCATACGCACCGATGGTACACCTAACTCGAATATGATTGTTCTTGGGGAATTTGTTTGTAAACGGACGTATAATTTGAAAGAGGATTAAAGAAGCCATCTGATTCATTGGACAGCGACGTTCCATCCGTTTACCATCCGATGGTATTTTCTATGATTTTTACGGCGATTAAAGGGCACTGAGAACAGGTATCCTATCCATTCATAAGGCACGGTGAGAGGAACGCGATAACCTTGATTCCTCTTCGAAGCTGTCACATCGATAGTCACAGCCTCCAACACAAGGATTCATTCACACGCGATTTAAATCATGCGACCATCAAGGGAATTAACAATGGACCGCGATTTACCGACACGTAACACTTGTCGAAATTAACGAAATTAATCGCCATCCCTGGCACAGGTTCTGTTACATAAGTTGCTTTATTTTGAGTAAGACGTTTTTAACTCACCATCTTTTTTGGGGCTGTATCCGAGCTCCGAAGACACAGCTATGTTGATTATGGACGCACAGAAACACGTTACATCGGCTTTGACACACTTCTCTCGAAACCTGGAAGACCGGTTGAATATCGTTTCCTAGTACGAACGGAGGTAACGATGTTTCCGTTAATTATTAAGCGGAAGCACACGCGAATAAAGTAAAGTCGGTATCGTAACGGGTTTAGACGGATGACATTCGAGCACAACAAAACAATCACTCACCGGTTGACGTTTAGGAGAAAACTCCCAACACATCCGGCGACTTTCAACAACCGAAACAGACTGGCTGCATCCTCCTTCAGTCGCACCCTATTTTCATGGACAGCCAATAGGAGGCGACACAATCCAATGGGCGCCATGTTTAACCGCCAATAAGAGCGCCCCTCCTTTCGATTGTTGCTCCAATCAGAGCAAAGTGTCTACGTGCCGAAATTCTCGTTGAAATATCTATGGGGTGTCGAAATATTTTATAAAATGAAAACAACATTCAGAAATATTATATTAATATAAAAAAGACCTTCTAATGAATAACAGGAAAATTTTTAGATACAAAAATTATTCCACATAGGAAAGAAATAAAGATCTGGATCCTTCCAATCGGATTGTTTTTTTGAAAATATGCAATGTTACTGACAAAATACAATGTTCTTTAAAATTAAGCGTTTGTACCATGCAAATGGTACTCTTTGTACTATTTACCATTTGTTTATATCATCCTATGAATTTCATTGTAAATTATGCAAAAATATGAATAATAAACAAGAAAGATTTTGGAGTAAAATGAAAGATATCACCCTGTATAATTCCTTTGGCTTTACAAGCTGTCTACGTCCTCAGATTGGTCCCCCTAAGAAACGGCGGACCATCCAAGTCAATTGTTCTTAAATAATATAAATTGAAGACCAAGAACGTAGGCCAACAGCGACCGAGCTCGGACAAACAATTCGTCTTTCACTCGTGCGATCGAGCGGAACACAATGCACGGGAAAAAGAACGAAGCGAACGACCAATGCAATCCCCATTAAATAATTTATCGTGTTTCTCTGGGGCTTCACCCTTATTTGTTATGTTCAAGATCGTGGGACTTGGTCATCCGAGTTTTTATTCCTCGTGTTACACAAATATTTTTCTAAACTTACTACGAAACTATTTGAAAAACTTGATAAGAAAAAAGAAAAATGAATGATCGGAATTTTGAACAGAGATGCTTAGGGTTAGGAATAAAAAATTTGAAGTACCTGTAAATCTAAGGTAGGAACAGGTGCATGACAAAGTTTGCATTTGCTGTTTCCGCGTGAAATTTCATGACAGCATGACTTGCGAATGGTATCTAATAAACCTTCTGTCCCTGCCAGATGCATCCAATTATTGTTAGATTGCGCATTCGTAGATGAACAGACTCTCCAAGCTTCACTTTTGTAAACTTGAAACGGATTTTAGTTTGGTCCCTCTTATACTTGGTGCGCTGATGTCGCTCCTCCCACATACATACCCTGTGTATCAACAATTTTGCACACAAGTTAAAGCGTCGAGATCGAACTCAGAATTCCGCGTCGGTAAAACAGTCAACGTTTCATTGAAAATTAGACCGAACAGAAACTGATTTAAGCGCCACCTCAGTTATTGCATCCAACTAAGTACGGCATACACCTACATAAATGACACATGTATGCTGCGATAGCTATATCTATCTATTCATTCATTATTTTCTTTCCGTAAAATTGTATTTGCAATGTGGTACACTTTAGAATCTCAAAGGCATAGTTCCTGAAAAAAATATAACAGAGATTAAATAGAAAAAAAAAAACATAAATTTCGCAGCCAATTCGCTCGTATTATTTGCTGCATAATTAATAAATGTACCATAGGAATAATGATACAGGTGTTAATTAGTCATCAAATAATAACGATTGCCCAGGTCTCACCACGGGGAGGTTGCTGCGGGTGGAGACCCGCCCTACCTCATCCCATCCACCCTCCATTTATGCAAATTTTTACTTTTATTGAATAGCATCATCCTCTTGATGCAGATTTGCAAAACTACTGTTGTGCAAACGAACAACAAAAGGAGCATTATTTTTACTCACTACCTGCCTATCTACTTATATTTTTGTTTTTCAATCCTACTTCAACATTTTTTTATATTGATTACAGATCTGTAATTAATAAATATGCAATTGCATATTTGTCCTACATACTTATAAATACTAAGAATACCTGTTTATACGAGCGCTCGAAATTATCTTAAAAATACACTTAAATATAAAACTTAAATCTAATTAAACACTGCAGTGCTTAAGACTACTTATTGTACATATTTTTTCAATTACCTGATCATAATAACTTTATGGTCATATGATTGTCTTACATATCAATAAACTTACAATCACCTTACATAAAAACCTAAAGAGATATAAATGAATACCTATAACAAATTTGTTGGTTTCCTTATCCTTATCAAGATACTTCCTGAAAAAAAATAAAAGGAATTAGAGAATTTTCAACAATAATCAGTTTTTCCTTTTCCAATCGTTTTCACACCATCTTAATTGGATTCACTGAATTCCATCTTTCGATCTTAGATTTTATATTAAATTTCTTCCAGTTCAAATTACCAATTCACACTTCCTATAAAGGTACTTCTCTGTAACAGAAACTCATTAATTGAATCCATACAAAGACAAAAAAAATTTAATGGCTGGAAAGAAGATACATTATTAGCAATAAAATTTTACAAAAGTCAGAGTGGTTGTTAATAACTCAAAATCAATTTGATACGAAATATGAATTAAAAGCAAATTTTAGTACCAAAATAAAGAGAAAAAGATTTAGAAAAATATATATTTGAATAAAATGATTTGAGTTAAGAACATTAATTATTTCATTTTATTGTATTTAATATTCGTTCATTTCGCAACAAATAGTACATAATATTTTAATTGAAACAACTGCCTTTTACTGCAATATACATATAATACGTACAACCACGACTCTACTCGACTTTATTGCATTATATTATTCAATACACCTTTCAATGCAAATTTATTGTAAATGGAAAAACTGGAAGAAAAATCACGAGTGGATTTTGCTTATGAGGAAAAGAATTTGAAAATTTATAAAAGTAATTTAATTAGCTTCTCCGTAAGCTTGAAACAAAACATCGCGATCAAAAATTAAAACTAAACAACTCGAACAACAATTATCCACTACTTTTGTTTAAATAAAGTAGAATTAAAATTTAATAGGTTATCTCGAATGAACAAATATTCCTTGAAATAATTTATCACCAATCATCACAAAATAAAATGAACTTTCATTTTAAAAAAAAGTTTGAATAAAGTTCTATTTAAAACTTTATCGTATTTAATAATATTCTGAAAACATTAAATTCATATATTATTTAACAGTATTTCCAACAAACGAATGTTCAAAATTTTCAAAATTAAAAAATGGGAAGAAAAAAGAATGGGGGTGTGGCAGTGGGAGGGAGGGTACAGGGGAACCTGAAAAGAAAAGTTTGACTGCCCATAAGAGCAATCCCTAAGCAAACCCTACAAAACAAACCGAAATCACACGCAACACTAATTTCAAAATTGCAAACATTCTGAACTATGACAAAACATCGGCTGGCAACGAAGGGTCTCACGCCTCCTAGACTTACGCCAGACGCTACATACCACCCACCCCGCCTGGACGTCGTAACGCCAGGACAGAGTGCACCCCTTCGCTAAGAGCGCTACCCGCCCGTCCAACACGTTGCATCCAACGGTGTCAGATTGACGGACGCCCATAGTATAGACAAAAGGACTACAGTTTAGAATATGGTAACATATTTTCATATGTTCCGTATTCTAAAGCTGCGCCTGCAAAGGCCTAGTAATGCATGGGTATATCTCCCAGAGATGGTGTTCACGGTCTTAGGCCGCGGAATCCTTGACTAGCAATGGACTCCCACCGAATGTTAGTCATAGTTACTTCCACTAATTTAATAAATGCAAAAAAGTAAAATATTTAATAACAATCGCGAATTCATTCGCAACACTAATCTCATTAATTATATAATATGTGCAAAAGCGTACGCGTGAAGGCTGCTCCATTATGCGCAACACTAAGCTGAAAAAAAGAAAAAAAGAGAAAACGCGAACTGTAACGCAACACTACTCAAATCTACCGAATTTTGTAAGACGCAACACTAATCTAAAAAAGGGGTACAGCCAATCCAAGGCTGTACCACGGCAGCTGATCCATAGCTGCCTTATGGACCATAGCAACTCCACTGGATCGTTTTGGGGCATTTCATCATATATCAAAACTCTAATGCAAAACGCGAATATTTATTACCGCAACACTAATTAGCAGGGAACTCTATATACTAATGCAAAGCAATCGCGTATTTATAAGTCGCAACACTGGGAAACAATTGCGCTAATGTCATTCGCAACGCTATCTTTAAGAGACATGCAATTAAAATGCAAAAAAGGGGGATTCTCAAACCGTGAATTTTGTACTCGCAACACTAATTTCATTAATTATATAATATGTGCAAAAGCGTACGCGTGAAGGCTGCTCCATTATGCGCAACACTAAGCTGAAAAAAAGAGAAAAAGAGAAAACGCGAACTGTAACGCAACACTACTCAAATCTACCGAATTTTGTAAGACGCAACACTAATCTAAAAAAGGGGTACAGCCAATCCAAGGCTGTATCACGGCAGCTGGTCCATAGCTGCCTTATGGACCATGGCAACTCCACTGGATCGTTTTTGGGCATTTCATCATATATCGCAACTCTAATGCAAAACGCGAATATTCATTACCGCAACACTAATTAGCAGGGAACTCTATAAACTAATGCAAAGCAATCGCGTATTTATAAGTCGCAACACTGGGAAACAATCGCGCTAATGTCATTCGCAACGCTATCTTTAAGTGACATGCAATTAAAATGCAAAAAAGGGGGATCCTCAAACCGTGAATTTTTTACTCGCAACACTAAAGCAATCAACATTAAAAAGCAAAACTCTCAAAAATCTTAAAGCAATCAACATTGAAAAGTTAAATTCTATTTTAAAGAAATGCAAGAAAGAAACGCGATATTTAAAGTTTGCAACACTAAATGAAAATCACGATAATCATGCATACGCAACATTAAATTGAACCGTGATCGATATTCATTCGCAACACTAAATTGAACCGTGGTCAATATTCGCAACACTAAATTGAAAACGCGATTTGCCCAAAATCATGGGGGTCACGGGCCCCCTCTTCTTCTGCAATTACAAAACTACAACTACAGGC